GGAAAGTGAATAGATTTATGTATAGTTTTTTTCAGTTTCTGAATATGCTTTGTACACTGAACAAAACTTCTAAGTTTTCACCTTACATTTTTTGAAGTTTTAAAGAACAAATGCAAACAATAAATGATTTCTTTAATTCTTGGTTGATGATGCATAATTAAGTTCAATGTTGCATAAATCTCATGTAAGTATCTCGTCAGAATTTTAAGCAAAGTTTCAAGGAAATGATGTACCCTCAAAATGAAAAATTCACACAAAAAATCTACATTGTATATGGAGTATAACCACCACTCGCTCTATAAATTACTTCAAGACAATTTTTACTGTTGGAAACCATGTATCCCTGAATAGGAGATTGACCCATCTGCTGCCACACCTACTGTATAGTTCTTTCCAAACAGACGAAATTGTGTGGAAAGGCAGGGCTTTGATTTTTATCATAAAATCCTAATAATGTTCTATGGGATTCAGATCCGGGTATTTGACCGTGTATCACACAGATACCTTGTAGCTAATATTCTGGAGAGTGAAGCACGGGAGTGCACCGATTCAGACTACTGAGTACTTGGACTGAATTTATACTGTCACGAGCACGGATTTTTTTTTTTAACATTTTCGTACGATTGAAATTGTTTGTTTTCATGTTCTGAAGATTGTTTCTGGACAATTTACCAACCTTTAACCCTGGAGCGATGCGAAAGTTTGTCCTCAGACGAAGATCAAGGTCAATTCCGGTTTGGTTGAATTTGTCAAAAACTTTCAAATTGTGTTATTTTGGTGATCGATGAAAAACGACACACAACATATAGAAATATGTGCTTAAGTGGGTTTTGATACGGTTTGTTAATTTTTAAAAGTAATATCAAGTACATCTAGAGAGTTTACTATTGCTTGCAATAGCGTATGTAGCCCCGAACTGTTCCCCTATTTCCATGGCAACTATTGATAATTTCGGACAAGACTTTCATTTTTTGTATCACTATAACAGTACCCATTAGGTAAGATTGGAAAACCATCAATTTTTATAAGTCCTTTCAGTTCTATGATTTAAACATCAAAGTTAAAGAATTTTCACCTTCCTCTAGTCTCCATGGCAATAATCGATTATTTGAAAATTTTATATGTGAATCGCACAACTACAATTAAAATTCACTAAAATAAAAAAAATGGTTTCATGACGAATATTCAAAGGCTTAGAGAGTACCCTTGCGGACAAAATTCGTCACATGACAATTTTTAGGTTTCCATGGCACGGGTAGCCATTTTTAAACTAAAGGACCATATGGCACAGCTACTAGCAGTGATCGTCCTTTGAGAAAAGTTTCAGAAAGATTGTCCCAGCCATCTTCGAAAAACAACCTGGACAACAAAAAATTGTGTACAGTCGCAATATGTTGTCACCGACTTCGTTCGGGACGACATAATAAAGCATCAAAATAAAAGTGAGTAAAATGTTGTGCAAAGATGGTCAAGATATTAACATTCCAACGACACTACCTTCTATCTCAATGGTTATTTTGCCAAAGTTTTTTCAATTTGATAATGGTCATAAAAAGATGCAAATTACACAAAACACGCAAAGTACAAATTTGTTTATTGCCTGTAAGCTTCGTCACGGAACCTTGTTTTTCATCGGTAATACTTTATTTTCTTTCTACAGTTGTTCAGAATACTCATTTGTGCAATAATTTGAAAATATCATACCATTCTATAAATAGTTTTAAAATAAATATATTGATAAAAGTGAATACTTAAAAGTTTTGTTAAGTGTGTGGCACGTCAAATTCACAAAATTGAGCCAAATATAGTTTCACAGTTGATAAACGAGGTTTTACGACTGTAAACCATAGTTTACAAACCATGAACTATAGTTTTCATGTGTAAAACTATATTTAACGGTTGTTAAGTAACTATAGTTTACGAATAGTAATCTAAGTTTATCTGTCTTTAATAAAGTGTTTTACATTAGATTTTAATGGAAAACATAGATTCACGTTTGAAAGCCATATGAAATTTACAATCGTAAACTATAGGTAAGAATTGTTAATCATAGTCTCACAAATCGTGAAACTTTATTTATCAGATCGTTAACTATAATTAAGACTTGTAAACCATTGATTACAAATCCTGAAACTGTATTGATCAGGTAATCCATGTTTTGTAATTGCAAATGATTGTTTTCGGTGTTAAGTATAGATTACGGTTGTGAAACATAGATAATCGCGTTAATTATGGTTTACAGATGTAAAATATAGATTAACGCTGTTGACTATAGTTTACAGTCCGTAAACTTTTGTTTACAACCGATAAATTTAGTTTATTGACAGTGAAACTATGCTTAGCTCATTTTGTGAATTTGGCGTGCCATAGCTATGGTTCAAAATAACATGAACATCTTTGTCATGTTGACCAACATGTCTAAAAAATTGTTTTTACAATAGCTCCAAAACTATGTGTGGTATAAAGTCAAAACTTTTACAGCGTATAAATATATCATTGATTAATAGATAGAAAGTATCACTTGATAACAACTATTTTTTAAAAGATATTTTTTGAGAAAAATTGTATCAGAAAATGTGCATATTTAAAAAAAAAAATGCACCTGGTTATTTCTGTTCTTGTTGTGAAAATCAACATTGTAAAAATAATATATGTTTATCATTGAAGGGCAGGTTGGGCGTGAATGGTCTCTGAAAGGCTGTTATTGAAAGCATGACAAGTTTAAAGTCAAGACCCCAATAGAATCTGCTATTTGCAATGTACTTTCACTTTCAAGTCTTAACATTTGAACAAAATACACAGGGAAAACAACTTTCCAGAGGCTATATCCAAGTCCAACTTGCCCTTCATTGATAAACATATTTTGTTTCTGCAATGATGGTTTTCACTAAGATCACGGAATTAATTAGGTGTATTTTTTGAAAATATATACATTTTTAAGACGAATTTTTCTCAATTAATATTATAACAAGTGTTTTTTTATCAGGTAATACTTTCTATATGTTAATCAATGAAAAGTTTATAAAATGTAAAACTTTTAACTTTATACCTCAGATAGTTTTGGGGCTATTGTAAAAATAAATTTTGGACATTTGACGAAACCTTAACACAAAAATAACGTGATATGTCTGTCTCTACAACAGAAATGAAACCACATTAGATTATATTTATATATTACGGTCATCCTACTTCATTGGGAACAATCTATATAACGGTCATCTTAAAATTTTGTTACGGTCATCATTGGCAAAAACTTTGAGGTCCTACTACCGATTTATTTCTTTAAATTCAAGTAAGTTATACTAACCTATAGCAAGTTCTCATTAGCGTACATTTATATTTTGCAAGAATTAACACAGATAACCTAGCAAATGTTTAAAATCTTGACTGAAAATTTCTAACCGGTGACCTCGGCCGACATGTTTTGATGACCGTAGTATATACTACGGTCAGCCGCTTTCCTACAGTCGCTTTTCCAACAGCCGCTTTTCCTACATGTAAAGTCATAACATGCATTACAACCTGTCCTGGGGTTATAATGTAAATTCTGTGGCGTGGAATAAATTATCGCGTAACTTCGCGAGAAGCACCACATGTGAAATAAAATTACTCCCCTTAACATTTCTGATGCTAAAATCTATGTAAAATCTTTTGATGAACCGTCCATTTGCGATTTGTTTTTCTCGCGATTTACCGTTCAAGAGCTCATTCGCAATAATAAGTACTCTCGAAAAATAAGGAATCTACAGTAATCAAGTAGTGGGATAAATAGAGTAACAGGGTTCTCCATCATTTAAAATCTTACTGTGTTGCAGAGTTTACGCGAAGCACTAAAATTTCGCGGTATTTTCGCCATCAAATTCGCAACTGAAACTGATTCATTATAATAACAAAAGAATACATGCACACAAATGGTATGGTCGTACATGTACATAGCCTATTGATGAAAAGCAGAGGAAATTCTGGTCGATACAGTCGAAGTACTCTACATTTTTAGAGTAAATTTGCCGTGAGTATTAGTCAGTTTTCTAGATCGTATAACCGAATTACACAAAAAAGAAACTTCAGCACAGTTAATTACTTTTAAGAGTTCCTTATTCGAACATGTTGAAAATTTTAATCATTTACATGAAATGACTTCGGTACGATTTTATGATTCACATACAGTACTAACATTATCCTACTGTAGAGCCGTCATTCTTTAGAAAAGACACATTTAAATATAAAAAAAAATCAATCTATTTTAATGTAACTACCAATTAACAACCGTTACTTGGAAGTGTGAAAACATATTACCAGGGTATTTATCTTTGTTCCTTCATGCGTGAAGTCCGGCGAGGGTCTAGGGGATAATTGATTATGCAAGGTGAAGCCCTAGTAATTAAGTGCACCACAGTTTAGAATTGAAAGACGGTAGGATTGTTTGATTAAAATCTCACTTAGTTAAAGAGAATTTATGTTTAGATTTTCTAATTATCACAGATCTTACTGTGTCGGCAAAACTTTTACTGTGTCGCAAGCATTAAATCTGAATCGTTACTGTGTCGGAGAAAATTTTACTGTGTCGGGAGCAACACAGTAAAACAGCTCATGGAGAACCCTGGAGTAATAAATAAACTACCTGGTATATAAATAAATAATAAATTGGATACAAATACACTCTTATTAGTATGAAAAATTAACAAGTGCAAATTGTAAAATTGTAAACATGATAAATAAAACATAAATGAAATAAACACATGTTAGTATGTTAATTACTTAGTGCTGAGCCACTACACCACTATACAAGCCTCCCGGGTGTGAACTAGCGATACAATCCCCCGGATATTTCTCTCCATACTCACGTCCTTTGATAACAACCCGTCATCCAGAACTTCTGAACGAGCTTTCCCGTTCCGCTCGTCTTTTAATTTAAGTATGTACTGCATGGCCTGCACAATGACACGTACTACAGAGTTATTTATAGAACAGAAATAAGTTGTATATCTACATTTACTTACACTCTTATACAACCCCTCTTCCTCAAGAACTTCTGACTTGGCCTTCCCTCTGCGCTCGTCTTTCAGGGCAATCAAATACTGCATTGCCCAGTGATGCGGTGTGAACATATGATTGTCAAATGACAGTGACTCATCACTTTATCTCATGTATAATAAACCGTCCTTTGTTTATAGAACTTGCTGATATCAAGCAACAAGTCGAGTGCAATGTTGCCATGTTCTGATGTTTTTCATTAATGCACAAAAGACATCCAAACGACCAATTTCGTCCATTTTCCTGATAACATCAGAAAGAACACTGTGAATTTCACTGCTTTCTGTGTTAGTCTCAGCATCTTGTCAAAATCACATTGCTGCTGACGTTTACTTTCATGAACTTCATTTTTTTTACTCTCAACATTTATACACACTGTATATTCATAACTGATTTTTTTTCTTTAAGTCCAGATAAGTATATACTCTCAGTATAAAGGAAAGTGAATAGATTTATGTATAGTTTTTTTCAGTTTCTGAATATGCTTTGTACACTGAACAAAACTTCTAAGTTTTCACCTTACATTTTTTGAAGTTTTAAAGAACAAATGCAAACAATAAATGATTTCTTTAATTCTTGGTTGATGATGCATAATTAAGTTCAATGTTGCATAAATCTCATGTAAGTATCTCGTCAGAATTTTAAGCAAAGTTTCAAGGAAATGATGTACCCTCAAAATGAAAAATTCACACAAAAAATCTACATTGTATATGGAGTATAACCACCACTCGCTCTATAAATTACTTCAAGACAATTTTTACTGTTGGAAACCATGTATCCCTGAATAGGAGATTGACCCATCTGCTGCCACACCTACTGTATAGTTCTTTCCAAACAGACGAAATTGTGTGGAAAGGCAGGGCTTTGATTTTTATCATAAAATCCTAATAATGTTCTATGGGATTCAGATCCGGGTATTTGACCGTGTATCACACAGATACCTTGTAGCTAATATTCTGGAGAGTGAAGCACGGGAGTGCACCGATTCAGACTACTGAGTACTTGGACTGAATTTATACTGTCACGAGCACGGATTTTTTTTTTAACATTTTCGTACGATTGAAATTGTTTGTTTTCATGTTCCGAAGATTGTTTCTGGACAATTTACCAACCTTTTACCCTGGTGCGATGCTAAATTTTGTCCTCAGACGAAGATCAAGGTCAATTCCGGTTTGGTTGAATTTGTCAAAAACTTTAAAATTGTGTTATTATGGTGATCGATGAAAATGACACACAACATATAGAAATATGTGCTTAAGTGGGTTTTGATACTGTTTGTTAATTTTTAAAAGTAATATCAAGTACAACTAGAGAGTTTACTATTGCTTGCAATAGCGTATGTAGCCCCGAACTGTTCCCCTATTTCCATGGCAACTATTGATAATTTCGGACAAGACTTTCATTTTTTGTATCACTATAACAGTACCCATTAGGTAAGATTGGAAAACCATCAATTTTTATAAGTCCTTTCAGTTCTATGATTTAAACATCAAAGTTAAAGAATTTTCACCTTCCTCTAGTCTCCATGGCAATAATCGATTATTTGAAAATTTTATATGTGAATCGCACAACTACAATTAAAATTCACTAAAATAAAAAAAATGGTTTCATGACGAATATTCAAAGGCCTAGAGAGTACCCTTGCGGACAAAATTCGTCACATGACAATTTTTAGGTTTCCATGGCACGGGTAGCCATTTTTAAACTAAAGGACCATATGGCACAGCTACTAGCAGTGATCGTCCTTTGAGAAAAGTTTCAGAAAGATTGTCCCAGCCATCTTCGAAAAACAACCTGGACAACAAAAAATTGTGTACAGTCGCAATATGTTGTCACCGACTTCGTTCGGGACGACATAATAAAGCATCAAAATAAAAGTGAGTAAAATGTTGTGCAAAGATGGTCAAGATATTAACATTCCAACGACACTACCTTCTATCTCAATGGTTATTTTGCCAAAGTTTTTTCAATTTGATAATGGTCATAAAAAGATGCAAATTACACAAAACACGCAAAGTACAAATTTGTTTATTGCCTGTAAGCTTCGTCACGGAACCTTGTTTTTCATCGGTGATACTTTATTTTCTTTCTACAGTTGTTCAGAATACTCATTTGTGCAATAATTTGAAAATATCATACCATTCTATAAATAGTTTTAAAATAAATATATTGATAAAAGTGAATACTTAAAAGTTTTGTTAAGTGTGTGGCACGTCAAATTCACAAAATTGAGCCAAATATAGTTTCACAGTTGATAAACGAGGTTTTACGACTGTAAACCATAGTTTACAAACCATGAACTATAGTTTTCATGTGTAAAACTATATTTAACGGTTGTTAAGTAACTATAGTTTACGAATAGTAATCTAAGTTTATCTGTCTTTAATAAAGTGTTTTACATTAGATTTTAATGGAAAACATAGATTCACGTTTGAAAGCCATATGAAATTTACAATCGTAAACTATAGGTAAGAATTGTTAATCATAGTCTCACAAATCGTGAAACTTTATTTATCAGATCGTTAACTATAATTAAGACTTGTAAACCATTGATTACAAATCCTGAAACTGTATTGATCAGGTAATCCATGTTTTGTAATTGCAAATGATTGTTTTCGGTGTTAAGTATAGATTACGGTTGTGAAACATAGATAATCGCGTTAATTATGGTTTACAGATGTAAAATATAGATTAACGCTGTTGACTATAGTTTACAGTCCGTAAACTTTTGTTTACAACCGATAAATTTAGTTTATTGACAGTGAAACTATGCTTAGCTCATTTTGTGAATTTGGCGTGCCATAGCTATGGTTCAAAATAACATGAACATCTTTGTCATGTTGACCAACATGTCTAAAAAATTGTTTTTACAATAGCTCCAAAACTATGTGTGGTATAAAGTCAAAACTTTTACAGCGTATAAATATATCATTGATTAATAGATAGAAAGTATCACTTGATAACAACTATTTTTTAAAAGATATTTTTTGAGAAAAATTGTATCAGAAAATGTGCATATTTAAAAAAAAAATGCACCTGGTTATTTCTGTTCTTGTTGTGAAAATCAACATTGTAAAAATAATATATGTTTATCATTGAAGGGCAGGTTGGGCGTGAATGGTCTCTGAAAGGCTGTTATTGAAAGCATGACAAGTTTAAAGTCAAGACCCCAATAGAATCTGCTATTTGCAATGTACTTTCACTTTCAAGTCTTAACATTTGAACAAAATACACAGGGAAAACAACTTTCCAGAGGCTATATCCAAGTCCAACTTGCCCTTCATTGATAAACATATTTTGTTTCTGCAATGATGGTTTTCACTAAGATCACGGAATTAATTAGGTGTATTTTTTGAAAATATATACATTTTTAAGACGAATTTTTCTCAATTAATATTATAACAAGTGTTTTTTTTATCAGGTAATACTTTCTATATGTTAATCAATGAAAAGTTTATAAAATGTAAAACTTTTAACTTTATACCTCAGATAGTTTTGAGGCTATTGTAAAAATAAATTTTGGACATTAGACGAAACCTTAACACAAAAATAACGTGATATGTCTGTCTCTACAACAGAAATGAAACCACATTAGATTATATTTATATATTACGGTCATCCTACTTCATTGGGAACAATCTATATAACGGTCATCTTAAAATTTTGTTACGGTCATCATTGGCAAAAACTTTGAGGTCCTACTACCGATTTATTTCTTTAAATTCAAGTAAGTTATACTAACCTATAGCAAGTTCTCATTAGCGTACATTTATATTTTGCAAGAATTAACACAGATAACCTAGCAAATGTTTAAAATCTTGACTGTCTAACCGGTGACCTCGGCCGACATGTTTTGATGACCGTAGTATATACTACGGTCAGCCGCTTTCCTACAGTCGCTTTTCCAACAGCCGCTTTTCCTACATGTAAAGTCATAACATGCATTACAACCTGTCCTGGGGTTATAATGTAAATTCTGTGGCGTGGAATAAATTATCGCGTAACTTCGCGAGAAGCACCACATGTGAAATAAAATTACTCCCCTTAACATTTCTGATGCTAAAATCTATGTAAAATCTTTTGATGAACCGTCCATTTGCGATTTGTTTTTCTCGCGATTTACCGTTCAAGAGCTCATTCGCAATAATAAGTACTCTCGAAAAATAAGGAATCTACAGTAATCAAGTAGTGGAATAAATAGAGTAATAAATAAACTACCTGGTATATAAATAAATAATAAATTGGATACAAATACACTCTTATTAGTATGAAAAATTAACAAGTGCAAATTGTAAAATTGTAAACATGATAAATAAAACATAAATGAAATAAACACATGTTAGTATGTTAATTACTTAGTGCTGAGCCACTACACCACTATACAAGCCTCCCGGGTGTGAACTAGCGATACAATCCCCCGGATATTTCTCTCCATACTCACGTCCTTTGATAACAACCCGTCATCCAGAACTTCTGAACGAGCTTTCCCGTTCCGCTCGTCTTTTAATTTAAGTATGTACTGCATGGCCTGCACAATGACACGTACTACAGAGTTATTTATAGAACAGAAATAAGTTGTATATCTACATTTACTTACACTCTTATACAACCCCTCTTCCTCAAGAACTTCTGACT